TGTGTTTTCTAAGACAATTCCTTTGAAATATTTTATACACTCATCTTATCATCTACTATAAGCGTTCATGTTTACAAGCAGTAGTATGGTACCGGATATATAACCAACAAATTTTAATGATACCAAGTACTACATTTTTTGTGTCACTATCATTTCATTATCATTTTGTTTCTCTGTCCCCAGTTCGTTATGGTGTTCGTGAGTGGGGCTCGCATCTTAAGCAAAGAGTGAAAAGATCTATTTAATAAGTAATAGATTTTATTGCAGAACTCACTAAAAAATATTCTAAAAATTGGATTACTTTATATTGAACTTAACTATTTTTAGTTTATTCACATATAGTATTATGGTCAGCCAAAAATTCAATTAATTAAAATAATTTAAAAAATAAATTTTTGTTGTTGTTTCACTTCTGTTCGAAAACCTCTTTATGTAAATATAACAAGTTTCTATTAAAACTATAATAGTCACTTTCGTCTGGAAAATTTGACGTTAAATTACAACTTATTCACAAAAATATGGTTCTCGCCAATAAATATTGGTTCTCGCCCGTGCGACTAGTGGAGTAACATTAGCATGACTTTCTCAGCATTACGTTCCTAGATTAGGTTCTATACATAAGAAAGAACAAATCATGCAACAAATAATGCCTCTACGAATAGAATAGTTTTGAGATTTAACAATTAAAAAATAAAAAATATAATAATTAATTAAATTCAATTAATCTAAATAACCAGCTGGTTTATGATTTCGTTCTAATAATAAATCACAGCAAGTAAAAATTGTATAATAACAAAACTCCAGCAAAAGTATGCGAACAAAAAAGGTCAAGTACGGCTTTGGATCAGCTTGCTTAATAGTGCGCTTGATTCTCGAGAGAGCTCTCACATTTGGCAGGACCCGAGGTTCGATTCCTGGTACTTGCCAAGTCTCAAAAATAATTATTCTACGAATAATTAAATACAAGAATTATTTCCAAGACCACTGATGAAGGGTATTTGGCAATACTCGAAACAGCTGTATGGTCAGCCAAAAATTCAATTAATTAAAATAATTTAAAAAATAAATTTTTGTTGTTATTTCACTTCTGTTCGAAAACCTCTTCATATAGTATTATACAATTGAAAAGTAGAATAGAAAATGTACGCGCCCTTTTATGCTTCGTACCGATCCTAACTGATCAAAACATATTGCATCCTTTAAATGAAAGCCAGAATGTTAACTGTTGAGGATATCCTAATATCGGCACTCTGTTCTCTTAGAGATATCCATCTTGTTAAAATGATAACGTAGGTCATCATAACCCGACAGATAAACCACCAACAACCATAGCTTAGTTCTACTAAGATAGAATGTGCTGCCGTAGCAGTACGTACGAACCGGACAGCTACCTGGAGTGTCGCAATAGTAACGATTTCAAAGTATTATAGTATTAAACTTAACATAATTTTACAGCAGGAGTAAACCTTGTTGAAATCAATTAATTACAAATTAATAAATTATTCAATTAATCACAAAAAGCAATAAGACTCAAAGAAGGAATTCACTGATTAAGTCAACAGACATACATAAGTCCTCGAAGAAAAATGGCTTGTAAGAATTCCGAGTGTTTTAAAAAGTTCCACTTCTGTATTCAAAATACCATAAATATTATCCTTATTCTTAGTCGGAAAGAATGGGTATAAATGATAGGTACAAGCAAAGCTAAAGGCAAAGTGAGTTACAGAATAGTCTTAGGGTTTTGTTCTAACTGTAAACCTGACACTGTAATCTCAAATCCAATCTCAAATCTCATTTAAGTATATATATACAAAGCGTTTAAAAGTATTACTCTATCCGCGAAATAATTACAGAATCATATAACCAAGAAAAATGCATGATAAGATCTTCAAAATTAGTTCAGTACATAGATATTTTTACATTCAATTCCATAAAATTGATAATTCCATTATAATGGATTAAATGATTAAAAAAAATACGGATATACATTTAAAAAAATATGTATCAGTTATTTTAAATATATTTATACTAACGTTATTTTAAATTGATTTGAAATACTCTAGTATTATCTAAAATTAATCGTAATTTTGAAATTTTTCATTTCAGCTTCCGCGAGGAGCGGTTTGGCAAGCCCTTTTTTTCCTCATCGTTGTACTTCTTACAAATGGTAAGTGCAGTGGTTCATTTTTAATATAATATATAAATGCAGTATTTTTACATTTCTCTATCATAATTGTTATGTCAAAAAGTCATAGCTTAATGTAATTAATTTCATACCAGCCGTACCATATAGTAAAATTACTTGAAACTCCTTGCTTCATCCTATTATAATATAAAAAATTTTGATTGCAGAAGTCGATTCCGAGGGAAGAGTTGTTTGTTACTATACAAATTGGAGTGTTTACCGACCTGGCACAGCAAAATTTAATCCACAAAACATAAATCCATATTTGTGCACACATTTGGTTTATGCATTTGGTGGATTCACTAAAGACAATCAAATGAAACCATTCGATAAATATCAGGATATCGAGCAAGGTAAGCACAACATACAGGTCTACACATGTCTGCATAATTGAATAAACGATGAGTTGCATACTTTGAAATGCGCCATATTATTCGATACTAAATATAAATTTTATAGACTTCCTCTACGTTTACACTCATGCAACTCCTTTTCTTTGCTCTTCGTTTTCATATGAACACAGGTGGCTATGCTAAATTCACTGGCCTGAAAACATATAATAAACAACTGAAAACGATGATTGCTATTGGTGGTTGGAATGAGGCATCTTCACGTTTCTCTCCACTCGTTGCTAACCCGGAGCGTAGACAGAAGTTTATTAAAAACATTTTAAAGTTCTTGCGGCAAAATCATTTTGATGGCATCGATTTGGATTGGGAATATCCAGCACATCGTGAGGGTGGCAAGCCGCGCGACCGAGACAATTATGCACAATTCGTGCAGGAATTGCGTGCTGAATTCGAACGTGAGGCAGAAAAAACCGGACGTCCACGTTTATTGCTGACAATGGCCGTGCCTGCAGGCATTGAATATATCGACAAAGGTTATGACATACCAAAACTAAACAAGTATTTGGATTGGTTTAACGTTTTGACATATGACTTTCATTCATCACATGAACCTTCTGTAAATCATCATGCACCATTATACTCACTTGAAGAGGAATCCGAATACAATTATGATTCAGAGTTGAACATTGTAAGTTAATAGTCGTTTGAGCCATTACAAATTATAAATAATATATTTGTTTTAGGATTATTCAATAAAATATTATTTGAAAGCTGGTGCAGACCGAGATAAACTAGTACTTGGTATACCAACATACGGTCGCTCATACACCTTAATAAATGAAGAAAGCACAGAGCTTGGAGCACCCTCTGAGGGTCCAGGAGAGCAAGGCGATGCTACCAGAGAAAAAGGTTATTTAGCTTATTATGAGGTTAGTATGAATAGTTGTTTTATATAACATATAATTGTCTGTTGATTTATAATATTTTATTTCATGACAAAACAATTTGTGCTTGACTAAAACTTCGTAAACAATATTTTTAGATTTGTCAAAATCTTAAGGAAGATCCTGAATGGACAGTAGTACAGCCTAATCCTACTGCCATGGGTCCTTATGCTTATAGACGTAATCAATGGGTGGGATATGATGACGAAGATATTGTGCGCAAAAAGGCAGAATATGTAGTTGAACAAGGTTTGGGTGGTATTATGTTTTGGGCCATCGATAATGATGACTTTCGTGGGTCATGTACAGGAAAACCATATCCTCTTATTGAAGCAGCAAAGGAAGCAATGGTAGAAGGCTTAGGGTAATTTAATATTTATTCGGTAATAATATATATATAAATAAATTTCTTTGTATTTGATTAGACTTGGAGTGAATGAAGTATCGAAACCCAGCTCTGCTAAAAAGCCTTTACGTTCAAGAAGTCGGGACAACACATCTTCCACACGTAATCGAATTGATGGTACCAGCGATGACAAATTATCAGTGGATCAGCGTAAAGCAACTTCTCGTCGTCCTACAAGCGGACCTCGCAAACGTGTGCAATCAAGTACCACAAATGCACCAAGTACTACCATTAAACTTACTGAAGCTGAAGGATCATCGTTATATATTGGTGGACGTACTTCTACACCACCACCACCTACAACACCAGATCCGGGCACTGGTACATTGTTATAAATTATTTCACTTATTGTAGGTTTTTAAACCATCGACATTCTTACAGATTTCAAATGTGAAGAAGAAGGTTTCTTCCAACATCCACGCGATTGTAAAAAATACTATTGGTGTTTAGATAGCGGTCCATCAGGCCTAGGTATCGTTGCACATATGTTTACCTGTCCTTCTGGTTTATATTTCAATCCAGCAGCAGACTCATGTGATTTTGCGAGAAATGTTCCCTGTAAAATCAAAAAGTTAGTTGCACTATATTCTCACATAAGATATTATTAATTAACGTTCGATGAATCATTTTAGAGGAACTACAGCATCACCTGTTACTACAACTACAAGCACTAGTACAACTACTCCACGTACTACAACTGCTTCTAATCGTATCACTGCTGCCACTTCACGCACATCACTGTTTAGAACAACTACAACAAGCACAACAGCAGCACCAGAAGAAGAGGAAGAATATGAATACGAGGAAGAAGAAATTCCAACGAAAGACTCAAAAGATAAAAACGCTGAAGAAGATCCTCGCGTTATTAAAGAACTAATAGAACTGATACGTAAAGTTGGTGGAATTGATGAATTAGAAAAGCATTTATTGCATAAAGAAGATGGAACAATTTCCTTAAAAGATAACGATACCAATTCTGGCACTCCTACAACACAGTCAAGCATCAGTAAATCACTTTATGATAAAGTACTTAGTCGTCCTAACGCTTATAATTCCTTCCGCAACCGTTTAACTACATCAACCCTATTCCGCAATAACGCACAAATAAAAACAGAAGAAGTCGAGAAAAAGGAAGGCAGCACAAAATTCGAAGAAGATATCTTACAACAAAAATCAAGTTCTAAAGTCGGTAATTCCAAATATTCATCAGTAGTGCGAGGCAACAGCCGTCAAGGTCCACAAAATGAAGGTCTGGAGAATTTACCTGAATTTGATGGTTTTCTTAAAGAAAAGAAAGAATATGTCACAATTAATAGACAACGTGGTAGTTATAAAGCACAGTATAGTAAAGATGAAGATAATGAAGAAGATGAACATGAAAAAGAAGTCCAAGACGAAGAAGTTGAAATAGAAAATATTAGAACTACTAAAAAACCAAGTGCTATTACAACGCCTGCCTATGTGAGCATTCGAAGATCTAGACCAACTACGACACTACAACCAGTAATTCAAAACATAAATACTGAGGAAGACAAAGATGAACTTAAAACGGTGGAGGAAGTTACTGAGAAAAAATCGTATACGTCTTTGAACAGATATCGAGGTAGACCAACAACTACAACTGAAAAAATCGAATCAAATGATGAAGTTGAATCGACTACAACAAGGTGAGTTTAGATTGAAATATGATTGAAATGCTCTTTGATAAATTATAGATAGATATGTATATGCAATTACTTTATAATCCTAAATATATGTTTTCCTCTTACAAACTATTTTTTTAGGTATAAATATTTTGAACGCACACGGCCAACCAGAATAACAACTACACGTACTACTGGAGAAAAATCTGATGTTGACGATAAAGATGATGACAATGATGACAATGATGAGGAGGAAAACAAGCAAAATGTAACGGTACAAAATAAGGAAGAAAATGATTCCACACAAAATACACAAACAACTACACGTATCTACGCTAGCATAGGTCGAAGACCAATTACGACAACCACATCAGAACCATCAATAACAACAACTACAGAAATACCAATAGCGAAAACAAATTTATTAGAAACTACATATACACCTGAACCAATTTCGACCACTACTACTACTCACTCACCAAATACAATTACTAATATTCCAGATATCATATCCAATTCATTTACTCCCATTTCATCCACTACCAGTACCACTACCACTACCACATCCACTACCACTACCACCACATCAACAACACCAAACAGTGACCCTCTTTTAGAAACTACTTCTATTAGCTCCACTGAAATAAATCCTTACAATATGTCAGACGATACCTTTGCTCTCTCCCTTGATATAAACTCTCTTAAACAAACAGACGCAGATTCTGCTTCGAATTCAATTAAAAATGAAGCAGATGCTGTTGATGGCAATCAAGAAACTTCAACAACAACAACACAGACAACGACTAAAACTTTAACCACAACTGGTACTACGAACATTGACCATCAACAATCAATTGACGAGGTAACAAATCTTAATAAAAATATATCCAAAACACAATATAAATACACTACAAGAACAAGAAATGTAACTTCCTTCACCACTGCAACGAATGACAAGAACACCGATACCAAAATTTCAAATGAAAACACACAACCTAGTCTTATTGATATTCGTAGTAACATTGGTTTAAGTAGTAATAGTAACAAATATGTTGGTGGTAGAAGGCAACAATTAAATAATTTACTTAACCGTAAATCCCAAATCCAAATCCAACAGACAAATGAGACCTCCATAACCAATACTACTTCTGAACCAACTTCTACTAACGTATTCGTGGGTGCAGTATCTAGTCCAAGACCCTTTGGTTTTCCAAGACGTCGTAATCGACCATCTAGTTTCACAACAAAAATTGAAGACTCTAAGCCCGTTAGTGAAAATGACGAAGATGCAGTATTAATCAAATCGAAAATATATGCGCAGAATGCTAATGCAAATACGAATAAGGTGAGTTCTAGCACTGACGAGTTGCAAGTACAAGTCAATAATTTGGAAAGCAACAGAGGGGGTAGCACTACGCGCACGAAAACAATTTCACAAGAGCATGTTGTAAATTTAGTTGGTAATAGTGGTGATAGTTTAAGGCATGTTAAGGGTTCTTCAAATAGTTTAAGTAATCGTGTAGTTGTAAGAATTGATGACGAAGACGACGATGACGAAGATGAAGATTTAAAATCACGTAAATTTTATACATGGCGCGATGCTAGAAGACCCACAAAACGAACAGTAAAAACGAAGAAAGTTAAAGTTTCTGAAGTTAGTAACCAAGAACATAGAAATAGTGGACACTTTAGATTAGGTACTGATGTAAATAATAATATTTTAGGTCAGAACAATAATTTAGATTCAAACGTGAAAGACGAAAATTTTGTAAATAAAGAACATATTGCTGTACGAACAAGTAAGTATCGCGGAAAAAGCTTGGAGACGAAGGACATAGAGACCGAACCATACTTCAATGTAAATAAATTTGAAAGTCTTAGTTTGACACTAGGTCATGATGAGAATCAAAATGAGACAACTATCACGAAAGTAGAAACCGAAGAAAAACAAGAAAACACTACTCTGATTGATGGTAATAACAACCACAACAAAGACAAATTAAAGAAAACTGAAAATTTAGATAAGTTGTTATCAAGCCACGATATTAGTTTACAAGGAAAAACCTCTACAACACAGAGCACTGAATTAGAAACTGAAAATAGGTTATTAAAAAGTGCCGAAGAAAATGTGGGTGCTATTCAAAATGAAGAAAAAAATAATGATATTTTAGAGGCATCGAATCAAAAAGCAACTAAATCTGAGAATGCGCAGACACTATTGGAAACAACTGACCACATAAGTATAGAAAACAGTACCGATATTCATACAACAGTGAAGAGTGATAATGATATCATAAAAACTACGAATGAAGACGTAATTCTGCAAAGTAAAATAAATAGTACTGAGAACGCTGAAGTAAACAAAAATAGTTTTGAACATTCGGAAAAAAATCAGGGCGAAAATTTAGAAACTAAAGTCCAAAAAACAAAACGAAATTACTCAATCACCAGAGGTGGAACACATAGCACGGAAAGCGTTTCTGAAGATAACACTGAATTAAATACAAATCACGACACGGAAGAACACAAGAATGATTCTGAAAATAGAAGAAGCAAATATCAAGTAATAAGACGTCGAACTGATACAAACCATAGACCAACAACTGAAACCGTACATTACCAGGCTATAACACGCCTAAATAATGGTGTACATCTTGGAGAAGACCAATCATCGTCTTTTTTCAGAAATCTGGAACAACATATACAACAAGCTGATGACAATAAGCGTAAAACATATCAGACCATAAGTAGAGGTGGACAAATCTTTGAAAAAACATCCGACTCTCAACATTTTGAAACAAATAGTAATCAAAAATCTACTGAATTAACCGCTGAAATTGAGGACATTGACAAACCAATTGACGCTCTTCCTTCCACAACACTTAAACCGAGCACTTTAATTGAAGATGAAAATATTGCCGCTGAAATTATAGACGAAGAGTTAGAAGTTCCTGTAATTAGTACAACTATGAAAGATATTGAAACGCCTGCGGATGTGATTGTGGAAACAACAACTGCTGAAAGTATTGACAAAGACAAAGAAGAAATTCACACAGAATACAGCAAGGTTGATTCTGCAACTGAAGTAGATGATTTGATTGTCAAAGAAACAGATGCAGCAAATCTTGCCAAAAGTGTGTCTTTAAGTAAAAATTTGGATAACTCTAGTCAAGATAGTTTGAACGAATCTTTAAATGAGACCTCTACTTCTAATGAAGGTAACCTACATCGAAACACTGCAATTTTATTTAGAAAAGTTGCATTCAAATCGAGGCAAAATCTCAACAAAACAACAAATATAAAAACTTCTGACTTTAATAAGGAAGAAAATAGTGCAAACAGTTTAGATAACTCTAGTCAAGAAGGCTTGAATAAATCTTCAAACGAAAGCTCTGCTTCTAGTGAAGGTAACCTACATCGAAACACGGCAGTTTTATTTAGAAAAGTTGCATTAAAATCTAGACAAAATCTTAATAAAACAAATATTGAAACTTCTGACTTGAGTACGAAAGAAAGTAGCACAAGTCAGTCTAGGGCTAAGGGTGAACTATCTACAGAACTCAACAAATCAGATGAAGAAGTTAAAAATACTCATGATATTGTTGATGATTTGAATCAACAGAAGACTATTGCTCGTGGTACTTATCGACCAAACACAAAAGGTGATCTCTCTTCTCTTTTAGCTGCAGATGATAATAAACAACATAGAGCACGAGGAAACTTTCATATAAGACGACGTCCTGTTAATCAAACAACATCAATAACTGAACATGTTAGTTCCGATGAAAATTCATTAAAATTAAGAACATCCTCTCAAACTGGTGAAGATAATAACAATGAACATATTAAGAAAACAGTGTTTGTACGTAAAAGAATATACGGACAAAAAGGAGAAACCCAGCAAAATGTAGACGGACTGAGAATAAACAACTCTCAAAATATTATCAAGACAACGATCTCAACTAACTTTAAAATAGAGGGAGAAAATGACGAAATAGAAGGTAAGAATAATTCTGAAGACAATTCTGAAGTAAAGCAAAACTTGAAAGTTGATGTAAAAACTGATACTGAACGGAATTTAACAACCACATCATTACAAAACAAAGACGTTAATATAAGTAACAACACTACTGCTTCAGGTGATAGTGTTAATACTGCAACTGAACTACAATCAGGTAATGTTAATTCAAATAACACGCAATTCAGTGAATCTACACACCTTAACTCCAATATTCTTAATCAATCCCGCAATCGTTCAAGATACAGCGCTCGTTCACGTGCAAGTTCTCAAACCGTGAATACAGCTAACAACATAGATACTCAAGGTAGGGGTTCTAGAATCACGAAAACTCGAACTAGCTCAACCGAAACTTATAACAGTGGCGCAAATAAGAAAAAGATTGTAAGCCGAATTCATAGTAAGGTTGTGCAAGAGCAAGGCGATGATTATGAGTATGAATATGAGGTTATTACAGAAAAACCTAGTACAACAACACAGCGCCCTATAACACGTAATCGTGGTTCAGTTAAGTTCCAGAGCAATGATTTGTCCTCTTTGCTTGCATTAGATTTTGCACAAAAAACAAATCGTCGCACTGAGAATGAAAAAACTATTGTCAAAACGAGAAGACGCTTGATAAAAAAACCACCTATTATCACAGAAACGGAAGAAGTACATGAATTTGAAACTGAAACTACAGATGATGATGAGAATGAAAGCAAAATCAAATCTGTTAGACCAATTCATTCTATTACGCAAACCAGTTCAACTACATCGCCAACAGTACGTCGCACACGTCCTACTAGACCGTTACGTACAACTACAAGTGCTCCTGTTACTATCGTTAATGAAATAATACATTCGACTACCACACCAATACCAACAACTCGAGTAACTAAAAAGTTATTGGGATTTAATAGACCTCTTATAAGACATACAACTACTTCAATTCCAGTATCTACAGAAATTATTTCGTCAACAGAGAAAATATCATCGCTTGAGGAACACGTATCCAACGTTAACAAAACTCTTGACTCTCAAAAGTCTACGGATGGGACTCAAACCCATAAAGTGAATTTTAACAGTAGGAAAAATATTGTAGGGAACTTAACAAATTCAGTATCACATACAAGCATTACTGGCAATTCTATAGAACATAAGTCTTCTGGAACACAAACTACAGACTCTTCAAGTGCTGAAAAATTTGATGTACTGAAAAAACAATTTACAAGCGCTGTAAATAAATTGCAGTCTACAGAAACTGAAGAGAGTTTGATAGCAAGTAAAAGTGTTAAGACAGAAGTTACACCTCCCAATGAATACTCTGAGAAAAGCATAGTTCAGCAATCAGTTGGTGAAGATAATAGCATCTCTACAAATAGCGGAGAAGATTCATTATCATTACCTATTTATCATAGAAGAAAATATTATCAATACTATAAGGACTCGCCCATAACATATATAGACAAGATATTACCTGCCGATGCAGAAACGACTACAGATTTAAAGAAACAAATACATAGCGTGTTTAATATAAGTAGCAATAATCTGACAACTTCTACAGAATCTAAAGAAAAGGAAGCAGATTCAGCTTTAGAACAAGCTAAAGAAATTAATTCTGAACTCGATCATTTTTTATTGAAAACCCCCGGGTCAATATAGGGCACCTGGGGAACAAAATAAACTCATCACTAAATATTAAAAATGAAGGTATTTTATCTACAAACACTTCATCAGATTTAGAAACAACAGCCGACGGAAGTATTGTCGATGGGACTGAAGAAATAACTGCAACTATAGATGCTGATGAATTAACTGCTGAGTTAGATGAAAACAGTATTTTTGATGATACACATACCCACGGAAATGAGGCAGCTCCGAAAACAGATAATGCGAAAGAGAATGGAGAAACATATTTAAATAGGGACCGTATTATTGATGATGCAAAGAGTTTACGAAACTTTGCTAGTCGTTATCGCACGACCACTGTGGCATCGATAGTTAATACAAAACTGCACAGTAAAAATATTACGGAAATATCAGCAGATGAAATAGCAGCGAAAACCCAAGCAACAAAAGAAGAAAACAATTCTGTAGTGAAACGCGTCAACAGATATCGTTTCCGAACCACAACTGAAGTGCCAACATCAACAGCCCAAACAGAAGAATCTACTTTATTAAACGACGGTATTACAACGCAACGTACCTATAACATTTTAAATCGTTTAAGAAATCGTGTTACAACTTCCGACACTATCGACCAGAATACTACGGAAAATCCAATTGGATCCATAAGAGCTTCACATAAAACATTTGAAGGAAATCGTTCAAAATTAAAAACCACTACAGAAGAAATAAATACCAAAAATCGATATAGAACACGATTGACCACTGCGAAACCTGAAACTGAAACTGATGATGATTTAATAGCTGAAGTTGATGAAAGCATTGAGAAGAATGAAGTGGAAACTAATTCCCAAAAAGTTATAACGTCGGATGACATAACCACAGTTATTAATTCAGATGTTACTTTAAAAACAACCGAACTGTTAGGTACTACTAGAAGACCAAGTATTATAAAACCAAGTCGTAAATACAGCACTAATCCTGTGCGTACTACAATATCGACAGTGGCGAATGATTTAGATACAAGTACTGAGCAAGTTCTATCAACCACACGTCGTAGCTACGTAGGGGTTAATCGACAGCACTTGAAACTGACAACACCGTCTGATGAAGAAGCCAATTCCGAAGCAAATGAAACCAATATTGGTCATTTCAACAATCGTTCAGATGTCCAAACAAATAGACATCGTGCTTTGTTTATTGAAACCACAGAAAGTATTAAGTCGGATTCCTTAACTGATACAATATTGGTGGACAATACTACAACTAATAAGGAAATTAGTGCCGAACTAGAAGGTCAAATTAAGAATACAACAGAAGATTTAACTGTTAAATTAGATGACTCAAATGAAGGCGTAGAACTTGAAAATTCGACACCCGAAGTAACAATAAATGAAACAGCGGATTATGAAAATAACACGGAAGTTTTATCAATAGAAGGTAAAGTTGTTAGTGAAACTTCTACAATTGATAATGCTGATCTCAGTAACAGCACAGAAACTATATCTACCAATACAAGTGAACGGAATTCGGAATTAGATAACAATGAAGAAAAACAAGATGAAATTGTGATAACTGTTCCCATTACTACCGAATCGAACATTGTCAATAACGAATCTTATGGCAAATTGACTACTGATGAGTCTTTAGTAGAAAATTCATCTTTAAGTTCAACGGAATTAATTAAAATAAAAAATGCAACATCAGATAATAAAACAGATGTTGTATTAAATGTTGAAGATTATGACGTCACAAGTGGAACGCTTTCAGAAAAAGAAGTAAATCACACAACAAATTTACTAAGAAATTACACCGAGGAAGAGAAAAATATCAATAAAATCGCAAATTTTTCTGTTTCGGATAGGCGTAGCTATTCCAGAAGTAATCGTTTTCGTGCAACAACTTCAGATAATAATAATCTCGATGAAATAACGAATGAGCCATTGCTCGATTCAATAAATCAAATCGAAACAACTACCTCCAGCTCCTCAGTTATTGATGACGCTGAGCCAAAAGTAGAAGAGCCAAAACTACTCACAAGCGATGCACTTGACATAACTACAACAGTAGGACCAGCAACAGATGAAAAAGAAAATATTGTAAAAGAAACTGAACTATTCCCTCCAACTAATAGAAATGATCAACAACAAACAACAACTACAACTGATACGTCAACAACAGATGTCGATGAAAACCAATTAATAACAGGCAAAGATAATATTATAGAAGAAGATTTAAAATTACTTTCAACAAGTCATTCTGCAGATGAAAAAGAAAATGTTGAAAAGGAAACTAAACTGCCTTCAACAACTCGTAGGTCATTTAGTAGAATTAATCAGGTTCAAACGACTACTACTGTTGCTCCTGAAACAGATAACCAAGAAAGTGCAGCAAAACAACCTGAATTACTTCCACCAACTCGTAGACCTTTTGTAAGACTTAATCGACTACAAACAACAGCATTTCCTGCTTCAACTGCAGATGATGAGGATATAAATGAAGAAGTATCTGAATTACCGTCATCAACTCGTAGAACTTTTGCTTCAAGAAATCGATTTCAAACAACCACAACTCTATCAACAAATGACGATGAAAATGTGGAAAATATAACTAAATTGCCTTCAACAACTCGTAGGTCCTTCAGTAGAATTAATCAGCTTCAAACAACTACTACTATTGCTCCTGAAACAGGTGATCAAGAGAGTGCAGCAAAAGAACCTGAGTTACTACCACCAACTCGTAGACCTTTTGGGAGAAATAATCGACTACAAACAACAACGTTAGCAAGTTCAACAATCGATAATGAGGAAAATAATGAAGAGGAATCTGAACTACCCTCAACCACTCATAGAACTTTTGCTAGAACTAATCGGTTTCAAACGACGACATCCCTGCCAGCAGACGACGAGGCAAATGTAGAAAAAGAAATTGAATTGATATCAACAACTCGTAGATCTTTTACTAGAATTAATCAGATTCAAACAACTACTACAATTGCTCCTGAAATAAACGATGAAGACAACGCAGAAAAAGAATCTGATTTACTTTCACCAACTCGTAGGCCTTTTGGGAGGATTAATCGACTAGAAACAACAACATTTACTACTCCAACAACAGATAATGGAGAAAATGAAGAACAAGAATCCGAACTACCCTCAACCACTCATAGAACTTTTGCTAGAACTAATCGATTTCAAACGACTACTTCCCAACCAACAGACGACGAAGAAAATGTAGAAAAAGAAACTGAATTGATATCAACTAATCGTAGATCCTTTAGTAGATTTAATAAGAATCAAACAACAACTACTATTGCTCCTGAAATAAACAATGAAGATAACGCAGAAAACGAATCTGACTTACTTCTACCAACTCGTAGACCTTTTGGGAGGATTAGTCGACTACAAACAACAACTTTTACTACCCCAACAACAGATAATGGAGAAAATGAAGAACAAGAATCTGAACTACCCTCAACCACTCATAGAACTTTTGCTAGAACTAATCGATTTCAAACGACTACATCCCAACCAACCGACGACGAAGAAAATGTAGAAAAAGAAACTGAATTGATATCAACTACTCGTAGATCCTTTAGTAGAATTAATCAGATTCAAACAACTACTACTGCTCCTGAAATAAACAATGAAGACAACGCAGAAAAAGAATCTGATTTACTTCTACCAACTCGTAGACCTTTTGGGAGGATTAATCGACTACAAACAACAACTTTTACTACTCCAACAACAGATAATGAAGAAAATGAAGAAGGAGAATCTGAACTGTCGTCAACAACTCGTAGATACTTTAGTAAAACAAATCGACTTCAAACGACCACAAATCCTGATCCAACAAATGATAATGAGGAAAATATAACTGATCAATCTGAAACAATATCCACAACAAATCGATCTTTTGGCAGATTTACTGGACTTAAAACCACAACTATTAAGGCAGATTTAAATGAGGATAAAAACAAAATTGATGTTGCATCAGAAGTAGAGTCTACGGTTAATGGAAAACTTAAAGGAAATTTCGCTGCGAAAGCCTCGTTACCAATAATTAGAAATAATAACGGAAAACGTCCACCACTTCTAGCACTACGAACAACAACCGAATCTCAATCAACAACGAATGATGATTTGATTGCAGAAATCGATGAAGTAGTCAAAGATGATGAGAACGATTCAATTCACAGTACAAATGAAACAAGTAATAAACATTTCGAAACGAATACAGAAACAACTACAAATCGTTTGTTTGGTTTGTTAAGTCGAAATCGTACACTTCTGTCGCGTACCACAGTGAAACCATTAGAAAGCACTGTTACTGAAAATGAGCATAGCGAGTTTGAAAGTATTAGCACTAACCGCACATATAGTAGACCTAATCGCATCCAAAGTAGCACTGAAATTCCAGTATCCGAGGATGATGAAAATATTACCACTAAACGTACTTTTAGCAGATTTAATCGTTTAAGAACCACTACCAATTCCGTTAATAGTGCTGATATAGAGCTTTCAACAGAGAAAAGCGATAAAGCTGTAAGCGAACAAAATATTCCAACAAGAAAATCTTTTGGTAGAAACAGTTTTCGAAGCACTACGGTTTCAACGGAAGATTCGCCAACAAGAAACCCACTATTAGCTCTCAAAGTTCAAACCACAATAAAACCAATCAGACCTAGTTTTAATAGGAACCTTTTTAACAAATCAAGGAAACCTGAAGGAGAAACCAATGAAGATATTTTAGATGAAATAAAAAATAGTGATTCAGAAGATACTATTAAACCTATTCTGAAGCCTTTTAATTTTAAACGTCCTACTACTACTCGAAAGCCCTACAATTTTATACGCCAAAATCAAAATGAAAGTGAGAAAGATGACGAAACGTACTCCGATGAGGAGGAATATAAAGAAAATGAAGAAGAAGATGACGAATCATATGACGAAAATTCACTTGAAAATGAAAATGACAACTCAGTAGTTTCCACGACTGAACGTAATAATCTTTTACAAAACTTACGTAACCGTGTTAGAATATCGCAGACACAAGATAATAAGGCAGAGGGGGTCGTAAATTCTAGGCTAAAAGAACTATTATCTAGTAGAACGAAAGGAACAACCACGTCCGACAATATTGACAGACAAACTACCTCAAGTTACTCTGACAGTGACAATAGTGTAATTAATAATAGCAACACCCCTACTAACAAAACAGTAGTTCGATTATTTGGTAACCGTAGTAATACTAACCGTAGTAGCACCGTAGCCAATTATTTAAGTAATACTAAAACTATATTAAGCTTAGTATCTAACAGTTCTGATAATTCAAATAGTAATGTTAATGATTTAGAAAACAATATCGATGAAGAGGTTATAAGTGAAAATATTGATGAAAATATAGATAATAATGAAACGGGTAACGAATTAAATTCTACACGACGTTTTCAGAAAAATCAATTCAACCGCACAAGAACGATAACATCAAGAATAAGAACTACAACTACATTAGCTCCAAATGCTGACACAGCATCAGAATTTAAATCAACGGAACAGGTAAATGAATTAAATAGTGACGAAGAAGCTATCGAAAGCACCGCAACTGAAAGCACGTTAAACTCTAGTCCAACTCCAACACCTAGACGGTATAGAGTGTTAAAATTCCGCCGTCCTGTTGGCGGAGCCACTAGCACAAATACCACAATATTAAATATAAGTAATGCCTCTAATAATGCTAGCGCTATTAATGTAACCAACACTGTCACCAATAATTTAGATCACCCTAATATTGTTAGCAATGTAGTTGAGCAAGTAGATAACGTAAAATCTAATACAAATATTGAAAATCAAAACATTGAAACAACCCAAATTTCCACTGAAACTTCTGCATTAGAAAATGTAACACCAACAAAACGATACCGCAAAGTTGTACGAAAACTTATAAGACCTATTAATCAAACTTTAGACACAGTCACTACAGCAGTGAACACATCAACCACAACGACACAAATACCCACAACAACTAATCAAAGACAATACGGTGCTAGGTATGGTTTCAATCGTAGCATTGGACAAAGTAGACTAAAAAATGCAGAGGAGAATCAAGAGAAAGAATCTATAAATGAATTGGTCAGTGTATCAAAGAATGATGAAAATAAAAACAGTGCATCAAGATTGCAACTTTACCGTAACAACAATCGTAGCAGGTTTGGTAGTAAAGGACAACCTACTACAACAACAGCTATTCCTGACGATAAAGAATTAGAAGATGAAAATGAAAATGAAGATGAAGATGAAGGAGATGACGATCAAGTTAATGAAGAGATAAAAAATATTCAAACAGAAAAAAGTTCTAAAGAATCAGATGAGAGTACAGATGTTCAATTAGTTAGCACAACGGAGGCTGTTAACAATATATCTGAGGACAATGATGAACTAACAGCTGAAATTGATGACGAAGATACAGAGGATAAAGAAAATAATCCAACAAATGTTAAGACTTTAGTTAAAACACAAACTGATAGTATTTCAGAGAAAAAGGTAGAGTTGCCGAACACCAGCCCCAAAGTCAAAGAAGAACGCATAACTGGTATAGTTAACAATCATCTAAAAACGCTTCTAAATCGAAAAACAAATAACACCGTGCAACAGCTATTCAATAATTCAAAACTAACAAATAGTTCTATTAGCGAAAATTCTACCGATTTACAGAGACTGCGCGATAAACTGAAAGTGGAACAAGCACAAGGCGAAAGAAATGAGGGAGTTGTTAGCACAAGACTAAAACAATTATTAGAAGAAAAGAAATTAAAATCAGAGGAAAAAGATAATAATGACGATAACGATAGTACAACTGAAGATGAAGAAACTGAAACTAAAACCTCGATCGAACTAAATCAATCTACCGTGCCTTCCTCAAGACGTCCATTTATACCGAAAGGCAGGCTGTCTCAAATTAATTCAAACAGCAATGAAAACAGTGATTTGTCTACTGTGACTAAATCGACTCCAACAGTACGTCCTACTTTCCGAAGAAAGTTAATTGCTAAAAGGCCTTATACGCCAATTAAGCCTTCTTTATCATCGATATCCACAACTGAACGTCCAACTGCCGTTAAACCTAAGCGCAAGTACGTAAGAAGGAAGTTTGGTCGATTCCATCCATTTAATGCAAATAATCGCAATTCTGGTGAAGGCTTTGTGCGTACAGATCCAAGAGGATCACTGCTGCCAGGTACAAATCGTTTCAAAGTTGAAGGTAAACAAAACGGCGAAAATAGTGGCAGTGCTGATGAGGAATATGATGAGTATGAATATGTAGACGATGACGACGAAGAAGCTGAAGAAGAAGAAATTGAAGTTAAAAGTAAGGAAACTGTCGCTAATAAACCTATAGCACCAGTGCGCACAAATAGTATTCTCTTCAACAGACAGCAAAACAATATCTTAAGAAAGCCTATCGATATTATATCCACGCAAACACCAACAGAAGAAGAAACCACCGATAACAATAGTGAAATAGATGAAAATGATGAAAATGATGAAGAAAGCGAAGATGAAAGTGATGAAGAAAATACTTCTAATCAAGAAGATACTAGTGCAGTAACAACAAACTCAAACTCACCCGGTTTTATACCAAAGAACAATCGTGTATTGCCTGGAGCGCGACCACCTTTACCAACTGGAGTAGGTGGAAATGTGCCATTTAATCCGAAAAATCGACCATCATCTCAACCTAATAGATTCGGCATCAATTCTGCTACCAGTCGATACGGAAGTAATGCACGTACAACTAACCGTCCCCGTGTTATAAACCGTCCCCCTGGTGTCGCTGTACCAAATTTGACACTAAAACCAATAGATTCAGGTTACGAAAGAACTACTTTGCTTACACCCACGAAACCAGCGCCATTTATACAAACTAATACACGAACATATGAACGAAAATATACGGGACCATCCACAGAAACACCAGAAAACTTTGTCGACAATTCACTAATTGAAGATTTGAACATTGAGGCGCTAAATGCGCGCAACAAGAAAATCTTCGACATAAACAGTAAGAAACATACTACACTCAAACCTAAAGTAAATTTGCCCAATCAGAAGTCTTCTCAAACAGACGATGAAGTGGAAATACAAAACTCACATCAAAACACTGAAACATCTGACGAATCATACACTTCATTCAAAGATGATCAACAAGGTTTTATAACAACAACACCACGCACACAGCCGCAAATCAGTGGCAACACAAACAACAATTATGATTTAAATGTTAATGAAATTTCTTCACAGGACAATGACTTGGTCGATAATAATCTTGCGGCAACCACACCACAAACGCCTGCTACAACACTGGTGCATATATTCACTTTGACTGACGATGAGCAAACAAGTAGCCCGCCTACGGCAAGTGGTGCCTTTGTAAGAACACATTTAGTTCCAGAAAAGGTTAAACCAAAGCATAAAGTAGTTGAGATCAATCGCATAGTTGAAATCACATCCAAGGAAGAAAAATTGCGACGAAAATCTAAAGCCAATCAAGAATTCCTGGAACATTTTGGAACATCGAATATAAAAGTTGAATCTTTACCACATTTAGAACAGTTAGGTGAAATTAGTATAGCTAAGTATGTGCATTTGGTAGATAGCAGTGATATAGAAATCGACGGTCACAGCACAGTAACTGATTACACACCCACTGAGCCAACTGCTTCTAAGCCAACACGTAATGACATACCAGCAGTTAATTCACAGAATGTTGTACAATTAAATGTAGGTCCAGCATATGTACCAGAACAAGCTGTTAATTTAGGTGATGACCACAGCATACTGCATGAACGAAGCGGTAAAGCTTTGATACCTGAAGTTATACGAGAAGCAATTGAAACTTCAACTATATCCCTTGAAGGTCTGTTCGATAATGCCAGAAAGGCAAAAGAATTGAATAATGTAGTTGTTGAGACGGCGGCACAAAATTCATTGCTCACCACTGGAAACGGCGAGAGTGAAATAAATGCTGAAAAGTTAGAAGCTAATAATCAATTATTAAATATTGATTTTGTGAGACCAGCTCCAGTCTATAATAGCATCACATTCGCACCAGTAACGCAATCCCCAGCATTAGAAGAAATCAGCACAGCCGCAACTGAACAAATTTCCTCTGAAACCACAACAGAAAAATCTTTGAAAGCAACCACAGTAGCTGCAGCGCTCTTTCCAACATATGTAAGACCAATTGTACCCCTACTCCGACCAGAATCTAATGAATCCTCACCCTTAGTAATATCCATTGCTAATCTCGATAAAGTTATTTTAAGTAAAGTTATGAGAAATACCGACACGGAAAACAAAAATCCCGAGCACACAAGTAAGTCCACAGATGCCACGACTATTGAAGCTGCCGACTCGAATGCAGCTTTTTCCAGTCGTATCGCTTCAATAGTCAAGGCACCCACAAATGTAATACATGAAGTAGATACAGAAACAAAACAAGTAACAGGCTCAAAAACACATGATCAGGGTTTATCTAAATTTAATGGTGTCAGTGTTGATGTAGTCGAAGGTAGTAGCTCTACTAAAACCGATCTAAGCAATAGCAATGAGAGTCCAAGCACTCTAAACAGCACTGTAAGCAAAATCGTTAGCGTTAGTACCGAGACGCATGTAGTGCGCAAAAAGAAGTCTCGTAAGCATAAATCAAGGCATTTCACAACAACAACAAGTACGACCACTGATGCTCCCGTAGGCGCTGATGATAAGGGAGCTCAAATCGAAGCGGTGGTGTAGTTTGAAGCACTCAGATATTTAGATATATTCCAGAGGTGCTAATGTAAATTTAGTTTAAGCTTCACATATTTTGCTTTTATATAAAAAGCTTTATAAATTTATATACACGTATTTAAATTTTATGTTAGAATTTTTTAATAATTTTGATTGTAAAAAGTTTTTCATCAAATGCAGCTAAAAAATTAGTAAAAATTTTGATTTGAGTGTTATGAAGAAGCTGAAACAGTTATTTAAGAAAATCTATTTAAGTGTATCAAGTTATGTTAATTATATTATGCGTCTCTAGTCTTATAATTTATGTAAAATCTTAATTAAGCATTTGGTATTGAAATCCAGAATAAAATAAAATAATTGGCTGCGTTTGCTTCCTAACAAGTTAGAGAACCAACCTCATTGCGATGTCCGATTGAAGTGGAAATTCAATGATTCGAAATATACATTTTTAGATATTGTTAATATCATTCAATAATTTAGCAAAAATGAAATTTAAAATTCAAATAAAATGTATTTTCAAAATTTTTACATTTCGAATTGCTGATGCTCTACAGCTACAGTTTAGTTTCTTGAGCTGGAAAATAAGTTCAAGCAAATAATACAGATATATACAGAGCTTTTACTATCGTCCATTTAACGCAGTGTTATTAAATAATTCTAATTTATGAAATTTTGTTATATTCATTAAGAGTGAAATTTGCCATCTAAGTTGAATGATAAATGGCTCATAGTGAATTTAGTAAAACTTCATAATTCTAATGCTTCATAATTCAATAACAGCTTACGTAGGATGTTCATGATCATTTTGCTATCGAAACATATAAAAGTCATCAAATATTATTTAGTGCCACCTTTAAAAACTTGCCTGACAGTTCGCTGCTTACCATGCGCTTTTTTTAAATTTAAATTTTAAATATATATTTTTTTAAAATATTTAATCCCGTCAAAATTATGCAAAATAACAAATTCGCTCATCAAAACATAGTCAAAAAATGTTAAAAAATCTCCAAGCTGCCATATTTAAAAAAAATTAATTTCAATTAGTAAAAATGCCACAACATTTGATTGGTTCAGTTAATTTAAAATTACGTCTATTATCGATATCGATAATCGATAATACTATCGATAATCCATTATTATTTTCTTTATAAATATGTTTATCGATATCGATAATCGATAATACAATCGATAATCCACTATTATTTTCTTTATAAATTTGTTTATAATTTTAAATAAAATTAGTTATATTTGTATATTTGAAATACTTTATTTAATTTTATTTGATTTTATTTAATTTTATTTGATTTCATTTTGTAAATTGAGTCCTGTAAAATTGTTTGCCAGTAAAAATATTTACACAATTTATATGTAGAATTTAAGTTGAAACACTTTTAGTTGTAAAATATTTATACACAAATATAAACGAATAATAAAACAATATAAATAAAATTAAATTTTAATTTGTAGTATTTAAAATGAAAAACACTTTCATTCTTTAACACATCACACTTTCTTTACCACTCTCCTCCCTGGTTTAGAAATATCTTATATCTTAAGAACTATATATTTTAAATATTAATTTTTAGTCAAAGTTTTTAGATAAATCCAACAAATATTGGTACGTATACTTAAATTTATGTAAAAATTTTTTTTTGGTTATAATTGATTTTATCATTTTTATTTCTCATAATTTTTTAATCGATACGCGCTTACTTATATTATTACTAGTGTTAAATATATATATAAATATATATATATATATGATAAAAGTAAGAAGGTATTGGAATTTTATCAAAACTATAATTTATAAATACATATTTATATATATAGTTTCATATATATTATATATTAAATATATATTATAATATATATATTATAATAATATTATAATATTATTAATATATATATATATATTATAATACATATTATATTTAAGAAATATATAATTTTATTTTAAACATTATATTAAAATTTAAAACAATTAACATAATTTAAATTAAACAGTCAATTAAATTAATATTATTAAATTAATTAAAAAACAGTATATTCGTAGCGTACTTAACCTGAAGTGTTTATTGTAATAAATATTATTTATTGTCATAAATAGATTTTATTATAATATAAATTTTGATAAAGGCGAAGCAATAGATTCATTACAATTCATATTCAGGGTTATATTTGCATTTTGTATTGAACATATTTAATAAAAATAATTTAGGTTTGTGTCTAAGATGAACAACTATTTCATTTCAAAAACTTTTTTGTAATATTTTTTGTTAGTGAAGTGATCGGGTTAACTTAATAACTGATATGAATTCAGTGTCATACATTGAATATATAAGTCAACCAGTTTAGTAAAGGATATTGATCATTTATATTTCGATGTGTTTATTTAGGTACGGCAATGTTACTTTTAAAATGATATTCATAAAGTTTATATTCTCTATTCCACAAATTCATATTCTTATTGTTTTTAATTTTGAAATTAATTATATGAAAAGGAGTCACTTTTCTATGATTATTAAATAAAATGGTTTACTTCTCCTAGTTTTCTGGGCAAAAGTACTTACTATTTCTTTGTATTCTGCTGTTTAGATTATAAATATTCTCTGTTCCATCATCAATTTCATTTTACGGGTCACTATTATATCTTGCAATACCAGCTTAAGATGAGCTATCTGACAAAATGTCACTTCTACTTGAAAGCATATGAGATTTCTGGACTTATTCTTCGTGATTGTATAGCATTAACTAGAGCCTAAGGTTAGCAAATCTTAATCAGTTGCCGTATTGAGGTTTATTTGAAAAGCTTACAGTCTGTTCGATTAGGATCCGTTATTAGCACAAAAGTTCAACCTAGGTTGCAGAGTCTTATTCCATCGGAAGCCAATACCAAATTAATTTCTATTCTATTCAATCAATCAATCAATAGATTGCCTTTTATCTGTTTTTATGTTATCTATAATATTCATAGTTGATAACTCTGTTAAAATATGTGTTTTATAATCTATAAACATTTAGCACATTTTCTTTCTACTGTTATTAGTATAATATACTGAATTATTATGCTATAGCATAAAATAAAAAAGATACTTTTATTAATTTTGATTTTAGAGTTATAATTTTAGTTGAGCTTAGATAATGATATATCCTAGTGCTTATATCTATTCTATTTATACCTTTAATATTGTTCTTTTAACATCCTTCCTATTCAATATACTAGAAATTTGGAATTGTAAGTTATTTTCTGAACTACAACAACTGTTGTCCAAGATTTTTTAATATAGAATCTGTTGAAAGAAAAAAATTCGAAATTGTCCAACTATTCAATTCAAGTAACGAAATCCGTCTCACGCAATCATTCAAATGGAATTATAATGAACTGCATTTTGAAAACTAATTTATAACAGAACCACGTTCAAAGTCTACTGCTCCGAATTTCGTATGCGAGGAGCATTCCAAACTAAATGATAAAATGCACTACATATAAACGGATTGTATCTGTTTGTCATATTAAAGAGCTCTCGTCTTACTTAACTCAAACATTTTAGAAGTTAAAAATATTATTTTCTAGTAGGTTTTAGCGCAAATGTAAAAATTTATTAAAAATAATTAAAAGACCTGAATTTATGCCAAATTTATGAAAAAATTCAATAAAAAGAAAAAAATTAACTTCAAAACAAGTTAGCTTTTCAAAATGCAATATATGAAGTCACGAGGTGTCTAAAGATACTGCTTAGCCTTCAACGTTGAAGACAATCTTAAACGCATTTTAAATGTTGATGATTTGCTATTAAAATGGTGAATGTATATTCTTGTTTTTGAAGTTTAAACTTAATTGTTTTGTAAGATTTGTAAGATGTGATTATAATCGAAACGTAGTTTTAATTAAAATTTATTTTTTCATAATTACGTGACTTTAGGGTTTTGGAGAAGACGTTGCTTCCATTGTTACTTTCAAGACTTTAATTAATCATCAATCTTCTTACATACATATCAATCTTTTTTAAATTTATTTTAAATAATTACAATAATTTTTTTAATATAATTATTCTAAACATCTTAGACAGCTCAGTACAATATTCTACTTCATTTGCTGATCTTTTTATGCCAAAATACATATATAATATATTGTATATTATAGTTAATTCTTGTTAAAACAAAGACTTCTAAATTACTGGTATTCTTGCTTTTACTTAACATTAATAAAAATAGTACAATTTATATATATAAATATTCTCGCTAGGTACTTAAAGAAGCCTATCTTACTTTGCAAAGAGTTCACAGTAAGAAATTTATATGAACTGTATTGTTGACATCATACCGATATTCTTATATGTTAAAAGCTTTTCATATAAATTTTATAATTTCAATAATGATTTTATATTGACTCACTTTTTTCTATCTTCTCGTTTCGATTTCCTTATATTAAACTTTTCCAACTTCTTTATTTACATACCTTCTGCTTAAAAAGTATCCGGATTTTGTTGCTTGTTAACTACTCCTTAAGCAATAGACCTTTTTCAAAATAGACCCTTTCTATCAATCAGTTTGTTTACAGCAGCTGTTAATGTGAGACTACCTGTAGTTCATTTAGCGATTTTTACTATGGAAAATTCTTGTTGTACGCGATTTTTTGACCAAACACGGCACCACTGTCATCGCTTAGGCAGCATATTCGCCAAATCTGGATCCGTGCGACTTTTTCCTGTTCAAGAAACTCAAATTGCCCCTTCGTGGTAAGCGTTTGAAGTCGATTGAATCGGTAAAAGAGAATTCGCTGAAGGAACTAAAAGCCATACTTTCACGGCCCTACGAAAAGTGTATGGAAGATTGGTTTAAGCGTTGGCATATGTGTATCGCTTCAGAAGGATTCAGATTTAAATTTGTGTGTACTTTTTGAGTAGAAGGTATCTATCTTTTTATATCAATCTTATAATATCGAACTTGCCATGTCTATTTTCTAAAATCGATTTTCCCATAACGAATCTCATATATCGATCTTTTTTTATTAATCAACTCATATTTATTTTGTAATATATATTTTTCATTAACAAACTTTTTAAACCGATCTTCTTATACCAACCTTCTGATATCGATTTTGCAATA